CGACGGGGCCAAGGGGCCGAGTCTAGGGGCGACGGGGCGACGTGGCCGCGGTAGGGGCGACGGAGCCGGCAGCTAGGGGCGACGGGTCCGAGGGCCGCGGCTAGGGGTGACGGGCCAGAGGGGCCCACGGCTAGGGGCGACGGGGCCAGGGGCCGAGTCTAGGGGACGGGCTACGAGGGGCCAGGCTAGGGGCGACGAACCGGCTAGGAGCGACGACGGGTCGGGGCCTAGGGGGATGCTCTGAAACCATGTCAGAAAGAACGAACGAGAATGAATGCATTGAGCAAAAGTTGGGTACAAGTACTAACCCTAATTGGGTTGTACCCCTTATGGGCTACCCCACTATAGCCTACACAAATGTAAGCTACATGTAAGTTTGACAGGCCCGCGGCCCCACCGTCGCTCACAGCCCCCCGTCGCCCACGGCTCCATCGCCCTAGGCCCGTCGCCCCGGCCCCGAGGCCCGTCGCCCGTCGAACCCCCCCCTAGCCCCGACCCCCGTCGCCCGTCGCGGCCCGTCCTCCTAGCCTAGGCTCCGGCCCCGTGGCCGCGTCGCGTCGACCCTAACCTAGACCCCGGCCCCGAGGCCCGTCACCCGTCGACCCCCCTAGGCCAGACTGTCGCCCGTCGCCCCTCCCTGTGGCCCGTCGCCCCTAGCCTAGGCCCCGGCCCCGCGGCCCGTCGCCGGTCGACCCCCCCCCCCCCTTAGGCCCGACCGTCGCGCGTCGCCCCTGGCCCCGAGGCCCGTCGCCCGTCGACCCCCCTAGGCCCGCCGTAGCCCATCGCCCCTGGCCCCGCGGCTCGTCGCTCCAGGCCCCAGGCCCCTCGGCCCCGGCCCCTCGGCCCCTTCTTTCCTGGCCCCGCGGCCCGACACCCCTCGGCCCCCTTTGTTCCTGGCCCCGCGGCCCGACGTCCCTAGGCCCCCGGCCCCTCGGCCCCCCCTTTGTACCTGGCCCCGCGGCCCGTCGCCTCTAGGCCCCAGGCCCCTCGGCCCCTTTGTTCCTGGCCCCGCGACCCGACGTCCCTCGGCCCCCTTTGTACCTGGCCCGCGGGGCCCGTCGCCCCTAGGCCCCAGGCCCCTCGGCCCCTTTGTTCCTGGCCCCGCGGCCCGACGCCCCTAGGCCCCAGGCCCCTCGGCCCCTTTGTTCCTGGCCCCGCGGCCCGACGCCCCTAGGCCCCAGGCCCCTCGGCCCCTTCGTTCCTGGCCCGCGGCGGCCCGACGCCCCTAGGCCACCCGCCCCTCGGCCCCTGCTACAACAACTACTGCTGCTGCTACTGCTACTGCTGCTACTGCTGCTGCTACTACTGCTGCTACTGCTGCTCCTGCGTGCTGCGCCACTATGGCTTCGCTTCGAGTCCTCGCGTTCGATCATGAGGGCAGACCGATTCAGTTTGACACGTGGCTTGACGACCTGCAGCTGTACCTACTGAGCGATTCTAAGGACAGTGTTTCGCTGTTTGACCTCGCATCAGGCGCCGCTCCTCCTGCCCCTCCCGCCACAACTGACAGTGCGACTCGCTCACAGTGGCATACTCGCGACATTGCTGCCCGCTTAGCCATTCGCAACCACCTGCCGTTAGCCGAATGCGCTAACTTCGGACAGCACAGGACGGCACAGACCCAGTACGACGCTGTAGTCTCTCGCTACTCCTCGCCTGCCACTGCTGCTCTAAGGCCGGCTGCTACTGCCCTACCTGTTCCCCGAGCTGTCAGCCTTTGCCACAGTAGAGGACCTTGTGTACCACCTGCGCACTAACGACGCTCGCTACCAGCGCTACCGTCCCTGCTGAGTTCCTTGACAGGAACCAGCCCCCGATGTTCATCACCCTCTACTTCATAGTCACTTCGCCTCCCTGACTCGCTTCGCTCTGTGAGTGACCACTTCTCTCACTTGACCCCACCTCCCTCACTGTTGACCTACTCGAGCAGATACCTCCTCGCAGCTTAGACTAGTGCAGTTGCTGTAGTCCTGCTCGTGGCACTCCTCGCCCGCCCTTCTTTGAGGGGTGCTCCCCTCCCCCCTTGCCCCCTCCTACGCCTCTGCTGCTGCTGTAGACGTCCCTGGTGCTGGACGGTGACTGATGAGATAGGCGGAGCTGCTTTCGGCTAGTGCGAAGCGCCGCAACGGCAGGGCAAGGGTAGCAGGGGTGGTGGAGGGGGCAGCGGGAGTGGTGGTGGGGGCAGCAGTGGTGGTAGTGGAGGCAGTGGAGGTGGTGGCAACGGTGGGAGTGGTGGCGGGAGTGGGGGTGTTGGTGGTGGCGGTGGAGGCAGCAGTGGAGGTGGCGGTAGTGGCGGGGTGGGACTGGTGGCGGTAGGACTGAGCTTGGCGTGGAGGTTTTGGAGGTGGCCAGCAGCAGCAGCAGCAGCGTCGGAGCGAGACCCAGTCGCCCCAGCAGCTTCGTGAGTGGTTGTTTCAGCGTGGTACGTCTGGGGGCATGATAGCTGCCCATATGTCATTCGCACGGGTGACCGTGCTGGTCAGACATGTGGGAGGCTTCACACTCAGCACCGTTGCTTCTCCCGACTCGGCGACGCTTGGCGTGCTGAGTTTGGTGACAAGGTCGAGCGCCCTCGCTGGGCAGATCTGCTTAGGTCTGGAGTTGCTATCTTTGAACTAGACTTTGATGTTATTCTTGTTACGATACGATCTTACTAGAGTACGGGTTTAACTAAGGGCCTAGGCTTAGTAGCCTAGGCCAAGGGGTGTCGAGGTGGTTGTACCAAGGAGATAATCGAGAATGATGGTTTCACTATAGAACACAAGGTACATATAGCAAAATAGCAACGGTGCACGCACCAACAACAAGAAGGCATAACTACACTAAAGCTAAAGCTACATGCAGTTATAAACATATATAAAATATATATCGCAAACACCCCCCTTAACTGCCTGCAGCACATAACTATAGCAAGTCACAACCCCCGGAACCTGGGCAAGAGGTAGAAGAAGCAGGGGAAACAGCAACACAGATCACCATGTTAAATGCAACAACGGCAAGTGCAGGACCCGAGAGGTGGGCGTGAGGCAAGCGCCGTGGCTACAACGAGCAGCTGGACAGCGCGGCTCAGCACCTCCGGGGGCGTGCCTGCTACAGGCAGCAGATGCAGTGATGGCAGATAGAGCCACAGTGACCTCAGCCACGGCAGATGCAGCAGCAACAGGTGCAGGACCCGGCAGGTGGGCGTGAGAGCAGGCGCTGTGGCTGCAACGAGCAGGTGGACAGCACCGCCCAGCACCTCCGGGGGCGTGCCTGCTACAGGCAACGGCTGCAAATGCCCGACTTACTTCTTCCACCCCCTTACCAGCCACTCAAACCCCTCTGGTGCTGGCGGCTGCGCTGGTGCTGGTTCCTGGTGCTGGCGGCTGGCGCTGGGCTGGTTCCTGGAGCTGGCGGCTGGCGCTGGGGCTGGTTCCTGGTACTGGCGGCAGGCGCTGGGGCTTGTTCCTGGTGCTGGCGGCTGGCGCTGGGGCTGGTTCCTGGTGCTGGCGGCTGGCGCTGGGGCTGGTTCCTGGTGCTGGCGGCTGGCGCTGGGGCTGGTTCCTGGTGCTGGCGGCTGGCGCTGGGGCTGGTTCCTGGTGCTGGCGGCTGGCGCTGGGGCTGGTTCCTGGTGCTGGCGGCTGGCGCTGGGGCTGGTTCCTGGTGCTGGCGGCTGGCCCTGGAGCTGGTGCTGGTGCTGGCGGCTGGCCCTGGAGCTGGTGCTGGTGCTGGCGGCTGGCCCTGGAGCTGGTGCTGGTGCTGGCGGCTGGCCCTGGAGCTGGTGCTGGTGCTGGCGGCTGGCCCTGGAGCTGGTGCTGGTGCTGGTGCTGGCGTCTGGCCCTGGTGCTGGTGCTGGTGCTGGCGGCTGGCCCTGGTGCTGGTCCTGGTGCTGGCGGCTGGCCCTGGAGCTGGTGCTGGTACTGGCGGCTGGCCCTGGTGCTGGTCCTGGTGCTGGCGGCTGGCCCTGGTGCTAGTGCTGGTGCTGGCGGCTGGCCCTGGTGTTGGTGCCTGGTGCTGGCGGCTGGCCCTGGAGCTGGTGCTGGTGCTGGCGGCTGGCCCTGGTGTTGGTGCCTGGTGCTGGCGGCTGGCCCTGGAGCTGGTGCTGGTGCTGGCGGCTGGCGGGTCCAATGGCAGGTGATGTGCGCTGGGCGGGACGGAGGTCTCTGCTGGCGGTGGCGCTGCTGGCGGGGTCTCTGCTGGCGAAGTCTCTGGTGGCGGTTGTTGCTAGCGTTGTAGCTGTTGGCTGTCCCGCCATGCCCTTCCCCTGCTTCCCTCTCCCCCACAGCGTTCGGCCGCCACTCCCTGCCCTTCTTCCCTCACCCTCCCCACAGCGACCGCCGCTGCACATGCGAACAAGCACGACGGGGGATGGTGACGGGCAGGGGGTGGGGGTAATGCGATGGGCAGAGCGACGGCGGGATAAGGTGCGGTTGGGGCGACGGGAAGCAGGGCGACGGGTGACGGTGTGCGGACGGGTGGCGGGAATCTGGTGACGGGCGGCAGCGCGACGGGACGGGCGACGGGCTGCAGCAGCGGAAATTTCGCGGGTGGCGGGCTGCAGTAGCGGGTAGTGCACGGGGTCGACGGGGGCGAGAGCGACGGCACGAAACAGCGGGTCGACGAGTGCCGTCACTCCCGCCGTGACCGTTGCGTCTGTCACGACTGCCTTGACGGATTTTGCTACGGGCGAGCGACGGGGAGGGACGGACGGAGCCGCGATTTGCTGCTTGACGGGACGCGCCATCGCGAAAGCTAACGGTGGGCCCTTAGGAAATTAGGTCGGGAACGACCTAGCTCAATACCATGTTACGATACGATCTTAACTAGAGTACGGGTTTAACTAAGGGCCTAGGCTTAGTAGCCTAGGCCAAGGGGTGTCGAGGTGGTTGTACCAAGGAGATAATCGAGAATGATGGTTTCACTATAGAACACAAGGTACATATAGCAAAAATAGCAACGGTGCACCACCAACAACAAGAAGGCATAACTACACTAAAGCTAAGCTACAGGCAGTTATAAACATATATAAAATATATATCGCAACAATTTTTTCTGCTATGTATGCTTTGTCTGCTAGTGCTGAGGGTGACTGTTACCGGTGTGTGCCGCCTGACCCAGGTATAGTCGCTGCTGCTCTGGGTGCTACTTGAGTCTGTTCTCCCTGGTACTGCACCTGCTGAGGCCTTGCACACCTTCACGCTGGACTCATGTGCCTCATGCTGTTTCTTTCGTGACAGCACCACTCTCGCTCCTCTCCCTGCACCTGTCCCGGTCCGACTGGCTGACCCCTCCGGGGGCCCAGTCCTTGCCCGTTCTTCCACTGTTCTCCCGTGTCCGGCGGTTCCGTCTGGCTCACTCTCAGGTCTTCACCTCCTCTCGTTCTCTACGAACTTGGTGAGTACCGCTGCCCTCCAGGATGTGATGGTCACTACCACCACTCCTGGGGGTCAGCGTGTGTCGATCTGCACATGTACACGGACGTGTCGTCACCTGGCCACGTTCACATCGTCGACAAGGTTCGAGTCTGTACACACTGGCTACCGAGCCTCCTCAGGTAGCTACGTCTGCTCAGTTGTCCGCGTCAGGTCTGGTAGCAATTCCTTGCTCGTGTCGCCTTGTGTCGCACCAGAATCTTCTGTGGCACCACCGCCTGGGTCACCCCTCCCTGCCACGCCTTCGTGGCATGCACTCCCGTCTCCTTGTCTCTGGTCTTCCCAGGTCTCTGCCTCCCCTCCCGCCCTCGCCTGCCCTGCCCTGCCTTCCTTGCGTCAAGGGGCGGCAGCGCGCCGCTCCTCACTCCTCCTCGTTTCCCCCGACAACTGCTCCCCTACAGACTCTCCACATGGACGTGTGGGGCCCAGCCCGCGTCAGTGGACAGGGCCGCGAGCGCTACTTTCTGCTGGTCGTTGACGACTACACGCGGTACACCACGGTCTTCCCCTTGCGCAGCAAGGGTCAGGTCGTTGATGTCTTGATCCCTTGGATCCGCACAGTCCGTCTCCAGCTCCGCGAGCGGTTTAGTACGAACCTTCCTGTCCTACGTCTGCACTCCGACAGAGGTGGTGAGTTCTCCTCCGACCTCTTGAGGGACATTTGTCTTGGGGAGGGCATTCTCCCGTCGTTCACAGAGCTTCCGGACTCCCCTCAGCAAAATGGGATTGCTGAGCGCCGCATTGGCCTAGTCATGGAGGTCGCTCGTACCTCCATGATCCATGCGGCTGCTCCCCATTTTCTGTGGCCGTTTGCGGTCCGGTACGCTGCGCATCAGCTCAACCTCTGGCCCCGTGTCTCCTTGCCGGAGACCTCGCCCACACTGTGTTGGACGGGGAAGGTTGGTGATGCGTCGGTGTTCCGGGTCTGGGGTTCTCGTGCCGTCTGGGGTTCTCGTGCCGTGACGTATTATCCCAACCTTACGCATCTCCAACCTTACGCGGAGAGCTTGTCCGCGTCGGTGTTCCGGGTCTGGGGTTCTAGTCTTACCACCCTACCTCACGCCGTGTCCTCCCCTCTTAGGAAATCACGTTTGACCGAGTCGGTTCCCTTTTACCGTCTCTTCCCCTACCGCTCTGCCCCTCTCCCTCCCCCGCCGCTCTTCCTTGCTCCAGGTCCCCATCCGGTAGACCCCCTCCCTACTCAGGGTCCTGCTCCCTCAGGTGTCTCTCAGGTAGACCCACCCCCTGGTGCTGTGCCTGGTGAGGTAGCTGTAGACTTAGGTGTTGCTAGAGGTACTTGCGTCTGGGGGTGCTGAGCCTGGGGGTGCTGAGCCTGGGGGTGCAGAGACTGGGGGTGCTGAGAGTGGGGGTGCTGAGCCTGGGGGTGCTGAGACTGGGGGTGCTGAGCCTGGGGGTGCTGAGCCTGGGGGTGCTGAGCCTGAGCGTGTTGAGCCTGGGGGGCTGAGTCGGAGGGTGCGGAGTCAGGGGGTGCCGAGCCTCAGGGTGCTGCTTTCGTCTGGAGGTTTTGCTGGTGCTTCGCCGAGATTGTCTACGCACAGTCTGCGTGAGTGGCTTGTTTGGCGCGCACGGGCCTTCGGGTGGAGCTACCGGAGCTGGAGGTGCTGGAGTTACTGCTGGAGCTGGTGTTCCTGGAGGTACTGCGGCTACTAGTCTTGGAGGTGCTCGTACCCGGGATACTGGAGCTGCCGGGTCTGGTGGTGCTGGTGGCGCTGGAATTGGAGGAGGTGGAGTTGGAGGCACTGGCGCTGGAGGCGCTGGAGTGGGAGGAGTTGGCGCGGGAGGCGGTGGAGCTGGAGGAGCTGGAGCTGTTGACCCTAGCGGCGCTCTGCGGCCGCGACCGTACTTCGTTCCCCTGCTTCAGTAGGTTCTTGGTGTCCCGTCTTCTCCTAGCCTTACTCCTCCCCTCTTGTGTCCACCGCCTGACCAGTCGTAGCTGCCGTTGCAGCCGGCCTCTCCACTGCCAGCTCTTTCTCCATACACTGAGCAGTCCGGCGGTCTTACAGAGCGTCGTGAGCCTGCGTCTCGTCTTGTCTTGCCAATTCGCACTGCTCGTCGCGTTCCTCGTTCGCGTCCTCCTCCTGTCCCCGGCACGCACGCTATGGCACTCCGTCCTTCCTCTGTTCCACTGCGTGTTCCTCTGCCTGCTCCTCCTGAGTCATGTCTTCCTGCTGTCATTGACCCTTCCTTTGAGTCTGCTGCTGCGTCTGACCTCGTTGCTGAGCTGCTTGACTTTGCTACTGCCTGTTGTCTAGACTACGCCACTGCTCTTGTTGCTGAGTCTGCACCTGCCAGTCCTTCGTCCGTCGGGGGTGAGTGTGCTCTTGGCACGGACGTCCTTGAGGACAGGCAGGAGGACTTTGAGTGTCTTGCAGCTGCTGTACCTCGTTTCGCTTCCATCCTGCTTGCCCCTGAGGGAGACCCGGATGCACCAGACATCCCGACCCCACGCTCTTAGACAGAGGCGATTACGGGTCCTTACTCCTCTCAGTGGCAGGCAGCCATGGATGCCGAGATGGCATCCTAGAAGTCCACAGGCACCTACGTAGACGAGGTTCCCCCACCTGGGGCGAACATAGTTGATGGCATGTGGATTCTCAGGGTGAAGCGGCCGCCGGGTTCTCCGCCTGCCTTCAAGGCGCGTTACGTTGCTCGAGGCTTCAGTCAGCGACAGGGGGGTTGACTACTTCCATACCTTCTCCCCCACCCAAAGATGACTACTCTTCGGGTGTTGCTGCACGTCGCTGCTCAGCGTGACTACGAGTTGCACTCTCTGGACTTCAGCACAGCTTTCCTGCAGGGCAGCCTGCACGAGGAGATCTGACTGCGCCGCCCACCTATCTTCACTGGGTCGTTTCCTGCAGGTACCCAGTGGAGCCTCTGGCAGCCAGTCTACGGTCTCCGCAAGGTGCCTCGCGAGTGGTACGACACGCTGAGGACTACACATGCAGCTCTTGGGTTTGCTCCTTCTATTGCCGACCCGTCGCTGTTTCTCCGCACCGACACTTCGCTGCCGCCGTTCTACGTCCTCGTCTACGTAGACGACCTCATCTTTACCACTGCTGACACTGAGGCACTGACCCTTGTGAAGTCGGAGCTGCAGAGGAGACACGCTTGCACTGATCTGGATGAACAGCGCAGCTATCTTGGCTTGCAGATCACCCGGGACAGAGCACGGCGCACCATCACCCTGACTCAGTCACACATGGTGCACCAGGTCCTTCAGCGCTTCGGCTTCCAGTTCTCCTCGCCATAGCCCACTCCTCCGTCAACCAGCCACTCGCTCTCAGCTCCACCTTCGCTCTGGGATGCTGCAAAGAGGGTACTTGCGTTACTTGTGCAGTACGTCGGGCATGGGGCTCGTGCTTGGAGGACGGGGTGCATTTGTCCTCACTGGTCACGTAGACGCTTCCTGGGTTGACGACTCAGCTACGCAGCGGTCGTCACAGGGTTACACCTTCAGCCTTGGCTCTGGCTCTGTTTCCTGGCGGTCTACCCGCTCGTCTTCGGTTCTCAGCTCCAGTTGTGTTGCTGAGATCTTACCCCGGGGCCATGGCTGCACAGGAACTACACTGGCTCAACTACCTACTGACTGACTTGGGAGAGCAGCCTCGTTCGCCTCCAGTTCTGTACATAGACAACAAGGCCATGATTGCCTTGTGTCAAGAGCACAGACTGGAGCACAGAACAAAGCACATCGCTCTGATGTGTTAGGCCTTGTGCCTACTTTGCCTCACTTGCTTATTGCGTGACTCTGCTTGTACTGTGATCTATATATATACCTGCATCCTTACACTTGCTAGGGTATGATCACTGTATTGTTTGTTCTATTTTATATAACTCTGCATGTGAACTGGCCTTGTGGCCCTTTGCTTGTGCTCGGACTGTGTGGTGTCTTTGTGATCCACCCTGAACTTGCTTTGCT